AAAAAACACACAAACAAAAAACCCCACTCAGGCATATATAATAAATTACATCTCCAAAGGGCACATTCTGCAGAAGACCTCTTGTAAGGTATTAAAGAGCAAAAATGATTTCACTTTGAGGACAAAGATATGTTATTTTCAATCACCTCATATGCATGTAACAGCTGGAGAATGGCTAAGGAAGACCATAGAAGGATAGATGCATTTGAATTATCGTGTTGGAAAAGAAGAGTGAAAGAGCAATGAATTTCCAGAAGAGCAAACAAATCTGTCTTGGAAGAAGTACAGCCAGAATGTTCCTTAGAGACAAGGATGGCGAGACTTCATCGCTCATTCTTTGGATATGTTGAAAAGGGCAGCATGTCTGGAAAACTGAAGGTCAGTGAAAAAGAAGAAGACCCCATGAGATGGATGAACACGGTGATAGCCATAGTGGCCTCCTACATAACAACAATGACTGGTGTTTGTTGGCACAGGACCTGGCAGTGCTTTAATCCATTATACATAGTGTAACTATGAGTCAGAACTCACTCTATGGCATCAAACAACAATGAAGTATCTGACACGAATACCTATTTATCTGGATGATTGTGCTTTACCATTTCCAAAGCCCCTGTATTTGTTTATTAATTCTTAGTATACTTGTTCTCTGGTCTAGAGAGGCATCATTATTTTGATTGGTGATTCATTATTGCTGTAACATATTTCATTGTTGTTACTTTTCCATCAGAGTAGAATGGACGTGTATGTATCACATGCTCCCACTGGATCATCAGTGCAGAATCTTCTACACATAAAACAGGTAGAGTCCTTGTCATAGACAGCCATTTCCATCATAATTTTCTTTTGACATCAGAAGGCAGTCCTGCCCCTATTAACAAATCTATTTTAAGAAACTGGGTCACTTGTGTTTGCTTTGTTCTTGGTCACTCTTATAATCCCTAGGTCTTAATAACAATACTTGGTTAAAAACCAAGTAGTGATATAGACTAGAGTTTAAAACATAGATTAAAAGCTGAAGCAAGAGGTAAGACTTCCACAGAGAGAGAAATACCTGGTATTTTACTTCCTCCTAATTGTAGTCTCGTAGTCCTGGTATGGCACTGTAGGATAAGCACTTCACTGCTTACCACAAAGTCTGTGGTTCAAATCCACAAGCCACTCCTCATAAGCACTATACAATGTCTCAATGTGTTGGAAACCTCGATGGCACTTAAAAATTACAGCCTTGGAAACTCTCTGGAGCAGTTCCACTCAATCCTATAAGGTTGCTATGAGTGAGAATCAACCCGATGACAGTGGGTTTTGGTTTGGAAGGAATCTTGGTTTCCTCTAGCTTTTCCTACAAACAAAGCAGGCCATTGCTTCTCTTTCACTGTTGAACCCCGTATTCAAGTGTCTCCAATGATTTGGAAGATTTGTTTTGTTGTCAGTGCTTGTGATCCATAGCCTGAATGTTCTCTGTTTAATAATTACTCAGATGTATGGAGCTGATGAATTCAGAGCTTATGACTGGGGAAGTGAAGCTGAGAATATGCATCACTACAATCAGGTCAGTTACCCAAAACGACCCCAGAATAGCAATTTTGAGAAGTTATAATAAGAAGTTATTAGAGAGTTAGAATCCTATCTGACAATTGGTGGTATTGGCATGGATTTTTTTAAATTAAATTTTCTTTAATTATTACTTTTTGCCCACTTTTAAATCTGTATTAATTAAATACAGATTATTAAAAATTTAGAAACAAAAGAAGCATATATAAAGGAAAGTAAATCTTTTGCAATTCCACTATCTAGAGATGACTAGGTATATTAATATTTTGGTGTATTTCTTCCAGTCTTCTCAGCCTTATATGTCATGTACACAACTTTGTAACTTATATTAGTATCAAGAGATACTAGTGTTAATGAGCAACTTATAGCATAGTGTTTTATGTCCTGTCAAAGCTTTATCTTCTGTGGGTATACCCTCCCACTCCCTCCTGTACCATGTATCCACCCGTAGACTGCTGTCATTGCAGGGTTGTGTATTTAATAGTACCTACCTCTATTCCCTTTTACTCCTCCACTCCTGTATCTTCCCCTGCCTTCATCGTTCTTCTGCCAATCTCCATCTTGTATATTGCCGTCCCCGTCATCCAAGTTGCAAGTTAACACATGTCTACCTTCTAGCTCATGAGTAATTCATAGAGTGTTTCTTTTAGCATGAAAACCTTTTCTTGACTTTTTACAATAGTGGCCTCATGCAATATTTGTCCTTATGAAGCTGACTCATTTCAATAAGCATAATGTCTTCCAGGGTCTTTCCTACTACGAGGTGTTTCACAGACTCAGCCTTATTCGTCAGAGTTTAGTAGCATTGATTTCATTGTGTGTACCAAAGTTTGTGGAAACGTTCTTCTGTTGATGGGCATAGCAGGTTGGAGCCATCGTTTTGCTGCTGTGGATAGCTGCAGTGAGCATGGATGGGCATTATCTGTATCAAATAGAGGGCTTTCTGTGCCATTTGGTATTTCTATTTCTGAATTTTTGAGAAAACACTATACTGTTTTCCTCAAAGGTTACATTATCTTATAGTCCCCATAGCCGTGTAGGAGGGTCCCAGTCTCTCTACATTTTCACCATCATTTGTTGTTGTTGTTTTACTATTAATAAGAGTCCTGGTGTAGTGCTGTGAGATAAGCACTTGACTGCAAGGGTGGCTTGAACTGCAAGTTCAGCAGTTCAAACTCACTAGCTAGTCCTTAGAAACCCTATACAGGGTCGCTATGAGTTAGAACCGACTCAAAGGCACTTAACAACAACAACAGTTCATGCTAGGGTGAGATAATGTCTAATGGTTGTTTTGATTTTCATCTCTCTAATGGCTAATGATTACAAGCAATTCATATATTTCTTGATCACTTGAATGTCTTATTTGATGAAGAGTCTGTTCATGTCCTCTGCTCAATTTTTAATTGGATTATTTGTCTTCTGGTTGAGGTGTTGAAGTGTTTTATAAATTTTAGAGAGTTGTCTTTTGCCTGATATGTCATTGCCAAAATTTTTTCTCAGTCTGTGGGTTATCTTTTTACTCTTTTGGTGAAATCTTTTGATGCATTGCTGTTGTTGCTGTAGTTAGGTGTCATTAAGTTGGTACTGACTCATAGTGACCTTATGCACAACAGAACAAAACACTGCCCAGTCCTGTGCCAACCTCACAATCATTGTTATGCTTGGGCCCATTGCTGCTGCCACTGTACTAATCCATCTTGTTGGGGGTCTTCCTAATTTCCACTGACACGCCACTTAACCAAGCATCATGTCCTACTCCAGGGACTGGTCCCTCCTGATAATATATCTGAAGTATGAGAGATGAAATCTGGTCATCCTGGCTTCTAAGAAGCATTCTGGTTGTACTTCTTCCAGCAAAGATTTATTAATTCTTCTGGCAGTCCTTGGTGCTTTTAATATTCTCCTCCAACACTGTAACTCCAATGCATCAATTCTTCTTTATTCATTGTCCAGCTTTCACATGCATATAAAGTCACTGAAAATGCCATGACTTGGTTCAGGCACACCTTAGTCCTTAAACTGATAGTTTTGCTCTTGAACACTTTAAAGAGATCTAGTGCAGTAGAGTTGCATAACTTAATATGTTTTAATGCATATACGTGTCTAATTTTTAGGAGGCCCCAATCTTCTATTTTGTGTCCTACTGTTTGTGTGTTTTCAGTTATGTTTGATAGTGTATTTATGTCATGTATCAGAGTCCCTAAGTTTGTCCCCAGGTTTTCATTGATGATATTTATAGATTTTGGTTTTACACTTAGGTCTTTAATCCACATGAGTTCATTTTGGTATATTGTGGGAGATATGGGTCTCTTGAGTGCCTCTGAATCAGTTCCGACCCATAGCAACCCTGTTTAGGGTTACTGAGGAGCAGCTGGTGAGCTTGAACCACTGACTTTGAGGTTCAAACCAACCTTGCAGTCCAACACATTAACCCATAGCACCACACCAGGACTCCTCCTAAGACACAGAGCCCTAGATAGACATAGATTCTGCTCAGCCTCCAAAACATTGGAAAGATCTCTAACTAAAGTAGACCTTGACTGCCTGTTCCTTCTGTGCATGTTCACACATTTGGTTCTCCAAGTACACTGGGCAGTTGGTTATTGCTGACCATAACCTGAAAAGTTTTTTCCCTCCTAAGACGCTCTCTCACCCCAATCAATACCTGCCTGTTAAAATCTAACCATCCTTCAAGACTCATTCCAAATGACTTTTATTCCATTCATTGCTTCTATTGTATTTGGGGAGTATTTTATAGCATTTAATAAATGCTCTACAATAAGCACTGGACTGTTAACTGCAAGGTTAGCAGTCAAACCTACCAGCTTCTCCTTGGAAACCCTCTACAGGGTTGTTATGAGTCGGAACTGACTGGACAGCCCTTAACAACAACAAAACAAACAAATTTGTACATAAATGTTTATTTAGCTATCTTGTCAGTCTTTTTTTTTTTTTTGCAAGCTTCTTGAAGGGAGAGCCCATTCCATGTTTCTTCCTATCTCCCACAGAGCCTAAGGAATAGATATGTATTGTGCAAACCCTGTTTATTTGAATGTGGCTATTGGTATGACTCTTCTTCCTCTCACAGGTGTCCTTTCTTTCCTCTTCCATAGAGTCAACCCCCACTGTATGACTTAACTGCAATGAAAGTACCTACTGCTATTTGGGCTGGTGGACATGATGTACTTGTAACACCAAAGGATGTGGCCAGGATGCTCCCTCAAATCAGAAATCTCAGTTACTTCAACCTATTGCCAGATTGGAACCACTTTGATTTCATTTGGGGTCTTGACGCTGGTCAGCGGGTATACAGCAAAATCATAGCATTAATGAAAGAATATTCCTAAGTGCAATAGAGTTTCCAAGTTTCCAAGTCCATAAGAGGCTTTAAGAAAAATATTGTCAATGATTTTGCCCCAGTACTCCCTACCTTGTTTCTATTGCTGAGATATTCTCTTATCTTGATATCCCAAATAGGAAGTAATTAAACAGTTCTCCTCAATCCACATCTGAAATCATGGAATTTTATCCCCTTTGGTGATGATAAACCCACTTTTTAAAATCCAAGATGAGTAAACTGGATAAACACACAATTGAAGGAGTAGTTAAAAGAAAATGTTCTTTCCTATTTCAAGTACCACAACAACATCCATATATTAACATGACCTTCCCAGGTGAGAGAGAAAGTCTTTGTCAAGACAGTCATTTGGGAATATATTTTAGGTTTCTGTGACCTTGTGGTTTACCTTAAATGATGACTAGAGCAACCATCATTTATTGTCATCTATGAATACAAGCAGGCTAAAAAAACAAGCCCTCATCCATAGCAATGAGCCTGAAAGAAAAAGTATAATGGAAAACTATTACGATGTAAGTGTTTGTCCAGGATCTGTCTAAAATATATAAAACTAGGAATGACTAGGGTAAATCAAATTACTATTTTTAGAAAAAGTATAATTTCTTGACCTATTAAGTTAATATTATTTGAGCGTCTCCTCTTGCTTTAAAGATGAACTGAACAGATCAGATATATATCTTCATGATCATCGTAGACATTTACTATTCTGTTTGTATACAATAACATTAAAGCAGTTCTCAGAAAGCCTAATTTAGAACTAGCAAGGGAGGCATTGGGAATATTTTACCTCTTGTTCTATTTACATGTCTAAAACATGCAGGAAATTCATCATTTAGGATTGAGAACAAATTTCAAAGAGTAGCATGAAACACTGGCCACTTTGAAGAAAATTGGAGTTTTATTGTCAGTTCCTCCATTTCTAAATAGCATGAACCTAAAAAAGTACTTTTTCTTCTATGAAAATGTAATTCGTGAGAAAATGATATTCATATATACCTTAAACTTACAATAAGTTAATGTAAATTAACTCAATCGTATCTCCAAGTAGTGATAAGGTCTTTAAAAAAAAATTGACTTCCTGAATCTATATCAAATAATTGCTCTCCAAGAAATATTTCATACTTCATCATTGTAAGATTTTAGCATCTCTAAAATGTTTCAGAGCACTTGAGAAGCAATATTAAGTATAAGCCACTTCTATCATTTTAGGATATCTATTTACCAAGTGAGACTATCTAATTTGACCACACTTTTAAATGACTATTCTTCAACTTTTCCAAGGACTATACTGTAGCTTTAATATAAACAATAATTTCTATTTTGTCATATTTCATTAAATTAGACAAAGTTAATGAAATAATTTAACTATTAATAAATGCAGTGGGCATAAATAAATTTGGGGCAATATGTAACTCTTAGTAAACATACAATTCAATTAAAGGGAGTAGAAAGGTGTGGCTTTTACTAGGTTAGCCTACTAGTCATTAACATTTTAGTACACATTGGACATCAGTTAGTGTGTTTTACAAAGAAAAAGACACAACTCATGACTTTAAACCAGTCCCACTGATCTCAACGTGAAGCAGAACCACCGCAGCCAAACGACAGACCTTTGAGCATGAATAGTAAGTATTTGCTGTTGCAAGTCACTGAGATGCTTGTGGGTGCTTGCAGCCACCAGCACTGGTGTAGTAATAGCTGACTAAGACAAATCCTATAGGAGTTTTGTTAAGTGACTTTCACTTAGCCAGATTACTGTATTAACCTATGGCCTCCTTTTGCTCCATAAAACCGTGCTGCTCTAGGATAAACATTAAATCACAAGTCGGTTTGAACAGCAAGGTCGGTGGTTCGAACTCACCAGCCAGCCCTCACAAACCCTATACAGGGTCATTATGAGTTGAAACCTGCTTCACAATACTTAACAGCAACAACAACAGAACTGTACATTACCACTAAAATCTTTCTCATGCTATTCCTTTTTAATCCCAGCTGTCCTGAAACTCTCCTTATACCCAATCATCTGAAAACACTAATCACTTTTCCAATTCTCTCTCTCTCTTTTTTCATTTCAGTCTGAGTTGGAATCAACTCAATGGTAACTAACAACAAAAACAACAACAATAGTTCTATTTATAGAGGCACACCTCAGAGATATTGCAGGTTCTGTTCCAGACCACAGCAATAAAGCAACCATCTCAATAAGGGGAATCACTACAAATTTTTTATTCCCAGTGTGTCTAAAAGCTGTGTGCCCTCTGTTATAGTCTATTAAGTGTGCAACAGCATTGTGAAGAAGTCTGAAATGCTCTGAGAATTATGGCGCCATAGAATAAGCACGCAACCTCAAGGTCAGTTTGAACCGCAAGGTCAGACGTTCAAACTCACCAGCCATTTCTCGGAAACCCTTCAATTTGTGAAAAACATAGCATCTACAAAGCGCAGTAAAATGAGGTTGTTGTTCAGTGCCATCAAGTCAGTTTTGACTCACAGAGACCCTATAAAGGGTTTCCGAGGAGTGGTTGGTTCTTTTACTTAATAATAACCTTCTATATGGGGCTACCACAGTGCTGTATGGGGCTACCGCAGCGCTGTATGGGGCTACCGCAGCGCTGTATGGGG